GACAGATGATATTAAGAGAGTGTCTGGAAATTGGATCCAAGTGGCACAAAATAGAAAGAAATAGCTAGAATTGAGGAAGGCTTTTGTTCAGCAGTGGGCGGAATAAGCTAGATGATGATGATGATGATTTTTGTTTTTTACTGTAACATACAAAATATTTGTAATTTTTTGCAGCTACAATTAGGATATAAATGATTCAAATACAGAACATTTATTTACTCTTCATTACACAGTAATTGCATCTCGAACGCATTAAACCCTACAAATTGGAATTTCGTGTTGATATTTAAGTGATTAGAACGACGCTGGTTGATAGTATCGCCGAACTTTGCCGAAACCGTCATCAATTAAACAACTTTGAATTACTCTAATTGTCTAAATAGACATATTAAGATCTCGCCGAGGCAGTCGACTTCCAAAACACAACCTAATTAAAACAGAGTCAATACTAATTTCTACCTCATTACGGGCACGCTTTCCAACAACTGCCATTAGAGCCGAAACTCTATTCTACTTATATATGTCTTAGTTGGTCTTCCGATTCCCATCGAGTCGAGAGTAACTGGTAAAAGTAAACTTGTGTTTGTTGTCAAGGTACGTAGGGGACTTAATTTGATTCGTAGTAAATTAAAAAGAAAATTCCATAGCGAGTTACGTTTTAAAAAATATTCAGAAATTATTATTACAAGGAATTTATAACGAGTAGAAAAAATATTGTGCTGGGTTGGCGTTGATTTCTATGTAATTTGACAAATAAATAAAGCTGTCACTGTAGTTGTCAGTTTTGAGCAAATATTTGTTAATTCTCTTTTGTGTCGATTGTTGATTGAATTGAAGTCAGAAATGGCTCATAACGAAATAAGTAAATTACCAACAGATATTCAGGCTGAGGCGACAAACGCCATATCCAAACTACTTCCATTTAAATTCCGAATAACTTATGAAAAGGAATACAATTTAATTATAAAAATTATATAAAGGCCACACTACCATGATAACGGACAAAATCTTGAAAGTTTTGTCACACTGTTAAAGTATCATTTAATCTACCCTTGCTGTTAAAGTACTATTTTATCTACTATATTTGATAGATATAAGACAATTTTAACAGTTGCTATGGAAAAAATGATTTTTGCACCTCCATTTTCTTTATTTATTAACATACACAACGTTTTCATAACGTAACATATGTGTACAGAGTTGTTCATTTCATTTGATACGGTAATTGTAACCACACGATTAGATTTTTACAAATTGTGAGTGATGCGAAATTTGGAGGACTACTAAAGCTACAATTTAAAATTATTTTCAAAAGGTACAGAGTGTCCCAAATAAATAAAAAATATCAAAATTGTATTTTTTTAAATGGAACACACTGTATATTATTACATTTTAGCTCCTACGATTAAAATAAAGGTAAATTTGATTAAGGTTTACGCCACTTTAATCTCACGGTTTTTGAAATATATACGATTTTGTGAAAATACAGTAACAATTATATGGTTTCATTTTTCTAGGTGTATTTAAGTTTTTAAAACCAAATATTGTACTGAAGTTTTTCTATTTACTAAATTTTCTGTGGTAATAATAAAAATAATACTACCTTATACAGAGTGTCTAAAAATTTAATTAAATAATTACTAGCTTTAAACGGCAATAACTTGTTTAATTTAAATATATTACCCTATATATTTTAAGGGAATCAGATGCACAATTTAATTGTCTATCAAATTGTATTATACCATTTTTACCTATCTCTTCAAGTTTTCGCAGAAAATACATTTTCTTATAATTTAGACGTCATTTATCAATATACCCTTGGAATATTGACATTTTATATATTTTTTAAAGATGTAACAAATTATTATATGATTAATATAATATAGATTTCTGACCCAAATCCATATTTATTTAGAATAATTTATTAACTAACACAATTAAGCATGTAATAAATTAATATTTGGGCGGAAATAATGATAGTACATTTAGTTGGTATACTCTGTACAAAGATTTGAATAAGGTTCTTTTTTTAAAGGTTTTATACATCCAAAATTACAAATTCTACTTTCTAGAAGTAAGCTTCTTTTAAACGTGCATTTAACAACTTACACCTGCAAAAGTTTACAGAAACTTTTATCAGAACACCTCAATCTCGTTTCATTGTAAAGAGTGTAAACTTTCTTTCACCCAATCCAAAATTCTCCGCCAATCTTTCCTGTATACATAAATTCCGAACCGGAGTAGTGGATATACACGCGTATACATGTAGCTATGCTGCTTTCATAGAAAACGTCAGCTCCTCTCAAAGTGCTATAAATTCCTTTTTGCCCAAAACCCCGGCGCGACTAAGTTAGAGAAGTTTGAATCCTTTAAAGGGCTGGTAATACGTAAAGTCCGGCACTTCGTTTGGTGATAAATACTCTGGGGGAAGATGTTGCGGACGACTGTTGTCGCGCTATGTACGACAGTAATGTTGAATGCAAGCCAAATTTTGCCCGGAGGATCGCCAGAGGAGGCAAAAAAAGGAATTTAAGCGGAAAAGTGAAAGGAAAATGTATAAACTTTAAAAAATAATGTTATAGGAAAAGTTACTCACGAAATTATTGCACAGGGTGTTTTAAAGTTAGGATAAAAAACAACCCTTCAATTAACCATGTATAATAAGCCAAAGGCAAAAGTTTATAAAAAAACTGAGGTTATTAAAAAAAAACTAGGATTAAAAATAAAACAAATATAACACTTTAAACTTGACGAAAAAATGTTCCGTTGCGTTTTTCTTGCATCTGAGTGTATATCGTTACAATGTAGTCAGAAAGTTAATTTACTCTTATTAAACGTTTTTATTAAGAGTTAAAACAAAAGGGCTACACTACGTCCTATAGAGGGCGAATCATACGACACAAAAACTATTTTATACGTTTAGCAGAGTTATGGATATGTTTGATTCACTCCGTATTATTATCGTAATCTTTGAACCAGGCGGATGAAACTGCCATTTGAATTTTGGAAACACGGCGGAGTTTCTGCCAGTAGAGGGATAGATGGCGCTGCGTAGAAATTTCATCTAAAGTCCCTAGATATTCATCTAGGGACTTTAATTTCATCATGATTTTAGCAAGTCATCCACAAAGTATAGTTTAATTAACAATTCGTTTGATTCTCTGTGGAGTAATTGGAGTAGTTGAAAAATATAAATATTTATATAAAATGTTGATAATTTAACAGTGATGTGCTTTGTTACCCTATGAATAAACATTGATATGAAGTTGCTTTCGCCAGAAACAATTATAATTAAATAATTTAATAAAAATTTAATTTCTAAGTGACCCGGATCAGTTAGATCAGTAAAATAAATTGAAAAATAAACGTCATTCCATATTTGGCAATGTCTGTCAGCATAAATCTGTCAGTTTCTGTGAAGTGGAAGTGAATTGTGATTTGTTTTTATGGGAATATTTTACGGATTTTTGCGAATTTAGAGTATTTTGGACGATAGGATTGTGAAATTTAAAAGCCAAGTAGTTTAATATATACGATTAATTAATCCCGGTGATAATTTTTATGAAATTTCTCACAATCAAAACAAATTCTTTCAATAAAATGGCTGTCTCAGAAATTTGGAAGATCATTAATTTTAAAGTTTTATTTAAGTGTATTTATATCGAATCAAGAATTTGTATAACATATTAAAAGCTTAATTTTAAAGGTTGTGCAGTAATTTATGTAAGTGTACGCTTTTAGATATATATTAAATATACAAATTTGCAAAGGACAAACAAGTAATTTTAAAAGATCATTTATTTATTTAAACACTAGTATAATCATTAATCATTAGGTTGAAAATATATTTGTATTTACTTATTTATATATATCCTATACCCTTGTATTATTTATAAGCCCTATATGTCCTGTTTTATTTGAAAAAAAAATGCTTCGAGTCATCGAGAATAGATTTAATAACAATTTTGTCCCTTGGCTTTGTGTATTATATAATGTGAATTGTAAGATGTTTCTATTTGAATAGGTCATTAAAGTTGAAATTAAAGTTATACCAAATTATATTCACGGTAACTATATGTCTTTTATATAATGAATTATTTATTTATAGTTACTTATAACTGATTGTATAAATTCTGATAACTTTTATATATACTTGTATAGTGTTGAATGTGTTATATGTAATTTTATTAACAATTTTATAATAAAATAATCAAGTTAAAAATTTTTCGTGTTTTATTCTAATTTCAGGGATAATTTCAACCTAGATTATTAATTTATTTGTATCAAAATACATTATTTTTATTTTGTAAAATGTTTTGTTTCAAATAAGTTCATAATCTAGATTGAAATTACCAAATATAAGTAAAAAACTTATGAACTGGCAGTAAAGGTCCATTTAAAAATATGGCGCGAACTTTTAGCTCTGCCAGTAGCCCGCTTGGATCGCGTCGAGCGCGTGTTTCCAGGCTTTAACATAGGAGTTTTCATTTCTTTCAGTTAGTTATTCTATGCTTTGAACCATTCAGGAAACCACTTTGAGCCATGCTATAGTATAATGCAACCATGAACACTTGTATTATCGTAATATATTTTAGAATTAAAAAATATGCATGTTTAATACCGCAGGACCGATAATACTAGATACCGCAAAAAACGGCATGCCAAGTTGGCTTGGAAATGACGATCGATGACACTTCTCATTCTCTCTTAGTTTTAATGACAAATCAATTCTCCTCCAGTTTCACAAAGAACCAATGACAAACTCAATACTATTTATTAAAGGGGTTTTAATGAAATATGATTTTTCACTTAATGAATAAAGAAAAACGTTCAATGTCACTCATTTTATTTCTAAATCACGGGACCAAAAAAAGATAACCCCGAAATCCCAAAATTGAAGTTTTCGCTCTACACGCTAAATTACTTTAGCCGCATTGTCTGTGGTCGTCAGACTAAATCAGTCTACCACCTAAAATTAGAATATTAGCCATGGTAATTACCTTCTTATTGTCTCGGAACTTGAGCCAGCCGGAAATAACGGTTTGGTCGGGCGTGCCCGGCGTCTCCGTGACCAGATCGAAGTCGCTCTCGCCATCGGAATCGGAAAGAATATCGATATGGTGGCTGCGGATGCTGCGAGCGGGGCTGCTGCAGCAGGATTCGGTCAGTCTTCTGGTTGGAAGCGGCGAGTTGTAGGCGCTCTCGCACATGGTTCTGAGCAAATCTGAAATACAAACAACAACCGTTTTGAAACTCATAGTTTTAGAAAATTTAGAATAAAAATTGTATAGGTTTTAAATCAAAAACTTTCTTTTTTTTCAAACGTCACAATAGTTATTTGTGTAACTGGTGCAAAAAAGAACATATTAGTCTCTCGACGCTTGAGTTTTGCAGCTCGAGACGAAGTCAAGAGCTGCAATCATGCTGAGTGCAACAAATATGCTTTTTGCACATGTTGCACACAACATTTTTTCTACGATCGAATTGAACTTCTTATTTCCATTGTTTATTAAAAAGTTTTTACAGTAATTCACAAAATAATATTACCACTAACAATGACACTATAAACAAATATATTTTTATTTTTTTAATAACTTTTTTTTGAGTTCATTTTAATTTTAATGTCGCAGTTTGAAAGGTTAACTAAGATAATTGAATAATTACTAAGTCAAGCTTCATTTCCAGTAGTCTTTTGAATTTTATTGTCATTTCTGCCTGTGGAAGTCTCGGGTTCTGGAATGTTGCTGAGAGGTGTACAGTAGTGGTACCTTGGTTTATCTACCAGGATTTAACAAATTTTTACAAAAATTTACAAATTTTTTCTCTTTAGTTAAAGTTATCATTAATAATTTCAAAGTGTTTTTTACACTAGTGTAAAAAATATGTTACGTTTTGCACTGGTGTTTAATACAGTAGGTAGTGTAAAAAATAGCTACTTTTTCACAATCGCAAATAAATATATTATTAAACTATATCTAAAATGTCAAATTCATTACCATATTTTTTTTATATATAATATATTCTACTTTACTTGATGAAATTTTGATACAAAATCTAAACCGGGAACATCAAAACAAGGGAAAGTCATATATTAAGGTGAGTCATATATTGTAGTTAGAAAACTTTCTTGAAATTTACAGATATGTGATGTGAAGAAACAGCTGATACATCCTCTGGAACCTTATTCCTATGACTGCTGGTTTGGAAAATGTGTTTACACCTAAAAAAAATAACAAAATAAAAAAATAATAAAATAAAAAAAATAAAAAATAAAATAAAAATTAAATGAATAATTCACAAAACTATAATAGAAGAGAGAGAGAGGAAAAAGTGCAGATTGGTTATACAAAAAAGCCAATTGTACGCGTAAGTAAGAAGCTACTCAGAATGACATAAATAAATATTTTCATGAAAATTACACAATGTAAATCTAGTTTTATAATTTTACTTTACTTCACTTTTATAGCCCTGTATCACAGTGACTCGAAATGTTTTTAGCTTTAAACTTAAATTTTACATCCTCAAATCCTATTTGTAGATCTAAACTAAGCTTAAAGAAAACATGAAAATCTCTTTTTATGAACACAAAAACCAATCTGATCAAGAATACCCCTCTTAAATCTAACTAAATTCTGTTTTTTCGTTTCAATAGCCCCATTTTGAGACCGAAACTACCCCCGAACGCACCATACGTTTATTCTCCCCATCCCTCATAATAATAAACCAATAAAATTATCTTTTCTTCTTCCCCATACGCCAATCAAGTTGAGCCCTTGCCTCGTGGGTTACGCTCGGTCCTAAATTTTACACCGTCTTGCCCTTATCTCGCGCGCCTTACAACCTGAGGGCATTACGTAATAATATTAGCGCCCTTGTTTCGTCTCTTGTTCCGGAGACTTGACGTGGAAAGTTGCCTTGTTCCTTGTTTACATGGGATAGAAGCAGGAATCTATTTTTTGGTTTACCAAGATAGATGGTCTGCCCCTATTAACATTCAATTTGAGTGATATTTGATGAGATTTAAGTGTAAACGATCTTCAAATAGTTCTACGATGGCTCTAAAATCACTGATGGATTGCAGAAAATTTTTTGATGTGAAACTTTTTTATGCACGATAGGAGTAAACATTGAAGGCCGTGAAAAGTGGTAACGTTGACGTCTTAAGGTTTTAATTTGGACGACCTCAAAATATGCCATTTATTTTATTTTATTTAAACCAAAATTTTTGAAAACATCTTTTTTGAATTATACAGGGTGGACCGAACTGTATTCCGGAAACTTCGGTAGCATATTCTGCAGATAAAAATACGTAAAAAAGTTCTTATAAATGAATGTTCTAAATGCCTAGTTTCGGATATACAGGGTGTTGAAGTTTCATTTTTATTTCGATTTTTATCAAATAATTTCTGAGGTAACGTCAATATTTGGATGAAAAGTGGCGTTTAGGGTTTTTTTGGCATGAGAAATTTGATTTTGATATCAATATGACTCCTACATATAGGGGGCGCCATCTACATGTGTTTTAACTGTTTTGAAGTGTAATATCTTTACGTCCGTTTCTGTATAAAACGACCGAGTGAAAATATATGTATTTTCTCTTGGTAAAAATCTAACCTAACCTAGCAACTGTCCTCAAGATATTTAAAATTCAGTCTAATAACTATTTAGTCATCATATTTAATTTATGTCAATGATGATGAATATTGATATCATTTCGGTTCCAAATATCTCGAGAACCATTTACTCGTAGCGATTTTTTACCAAGATACCTTTTTTTACGCAAAAAAACGTTGCAAATTTATATTTTTTTACTCATTAGTTTTATACAGGTACGGACGAAAATTTATTACTCTTCAAACCAGTTAAAAATGTATACGTGGCGCCCCACAAATATAAGTCAATTGACATTGTAAGGCTATTTCTTTGGTTCTGTAAAAAATAGCCTTATTGACGCCCAGTGAGAAATCTAGATCTCTCGGGCGCCACCTCTGTTATTTATAGTGGTAGAGGTCCACATTTGCCAGTACGGGTAGCCTTTAAACAGTGGAGACTCCAGGTATGAAGGGGTGCAGGTAAAGTCAAAATAAAACAATAAGTTTCAATTAAAATAATATAAACAATCTTTATTAAACTCTAGCGCAGGCGTGGCAAGATCGCGAAATCAAAAAGTTACTAGTTAAACTCTATCTTAACCCGGAGAAGAAACTTGTCTTTCATTTGTTCACTAGCCCACAATCCAACCGTACGTGAAAACAGTACCCCACGGTCAAAATTGTAGGTTTTTCACGCTTTCCCTCCAATCACGGATGGATTAGGCACAGGAAGCGCCTTCCGACAGTACTTGTGAAAGTACTGACCAAAGGACGCTACCTAACTGCTCTGCATAGTCAGCCACCTTTTGAAAGACAGAGAACGGCCTTTCACAATTTAATGTAAAGCCGCTCACCGCTTTTCCGAAGGCGTTGGCTAAGACACACGTTCACGTGACTGAGTGAGGAAAACTGAAAGGAAAGTTTTTAAACGACAAGCTTCACTTGATGAAAAACGTGGCGTAGCACTATACTAGAAAAGACACTGCGCAAGACAGGATATTGCGGAGGGTGCGGGGAGTAGTCGGGTGAGCACTTTCTAGAAAGCGAGGCTTTCTATCGTATTCTTCGTTCGGCGGAGCAGGGTGGAGCTGTCGTCTATTCGCCAACCCAGGTACCGAGCATTGCACAAAGAATACAAGGTATGATATTGCGCAGGTTGGTCGCTACGTCATAGGTGATAACTGGCGCTATTGGTCAGCACTCTCCGCGCGCCAGTTCAAATCGTCAAGATATTGTTATAAACCTGTTTTTTTGTTTATATACCGTCATTGAATTATCGCTAAGCAAGTTAATGTGGAGCAGTGCGTAAGGAGTCGGGCTAGGAAGCGAGAGACCGGAGTTCGATTCTCGGCCGGGACATAACTTTTTATTTATTTTTTAAATACTGTTGTATTCTATAGTTTATTTTTGTAGTATAAAAAAAGAACTATTTATTCTGTTATTTTTTAATCTCCGGTATTAATATAAATTGATTGTTGGCACAATACCTCATTTAATATAAAATAATATTCTACTTTTTGAAATGTATCGGGCCCTAATTGTACCTAAAAGTAATATATTTTTAGTGATATACCATATTGTAAACTATTTAATATTTCAGTCACTTAAAAAGTTAATTTGCATTGAATAATTGCCTACCATTAAAGGAAATTTGAGCTATATAATCCTTGATGGTCATATTCTGGGTATGCAAATACTTCCTCTAAATTTTGGGTTTCGTTCAACCGATTTATTCTCAAAACCTGAAACATCTACATATAAAAAGAAGCACAGGTCACTAATTATAATAGACTTCACCCTTGGAATTACTTCTATCACAATTACAATACATTCATCTGCATTGGCATTTTCTACTTTTCGATGGGAAACTTCAACTTCCCAACATTTTTTAAATGATGTAACAATTCCTCTTGTGGTTACTTTTCCATAGATATCCTCATCTCTGTCCTCATGTGAATTCAGAGACAATGAACATGAAAATTATTTACCATAAACATCGCAAACTAAAAACCTAATAAACAATTTTATACCGAATATAGAAATAAATTTAGTATTCTTACCTATAATTATCGTCCAAATCCATGTTAATAGATAATTATTTTTAAATATATTTTTGGAACTGCTGGTTTTAGTAATTATTAAATTAAACGAACTAAAAAGTCTTAAAAATAAACAATTCTTAACCATAACCACAAAAAATGCAGATCTCCTGACAACTTTCTTGATTTTTTATTTATTCATTATTTTCCTAGTGACGTCACAGGTGGTATGCGCGAACTGAACGAAATTGGAGCCGCTATCGATCATACCTTGTATTCTTTGTACCATGGGTACCGAGTAACTGACGACTTTTGATTTTCTAACGGTACTGCTCTCGTCTACAGGAGTGGGGAAAGCAGCACACAGTAGGGACAACGGCGCGCGCCGTATCCCCGCGAGTATCAATCGATGCGAACCAAGACTCTACTACTTGCTTTTAACAAAATAATTATCTTATAAATAATTTGATAATTAAAAGCTAATTAATTTAATCACTACAAACTAATTATCACAAAAATGAATAATTAATAATCAAAATCAAATCCTCATGTCAAAACACTCCCGGACATTAATTTTCATCCAAATATTGGCG